CTGCCCGCCCACCTCTTACCCCTTCCCTGTAAAGCTCAGAAGGCAGGCTTTACAGACAAACGTATCCCTGTCAAAGCAGCTACAACATCTAAAATATACACATAACAAAGGGCACTTGCACTGCAAGTAATGGAGTCTGCTCTGACATGTTCTAGTTAGAACGCATCAAAGGAAGCGTCCAGCACGTGTACAGGCACACTAGGATAAGTGTGTGTGTGTGTGTGTGTGTGTGTGTGTGTGTGTGAATACGTGCACACATGCATATATACTTGAGGTGTATGCCCTTTGTTACGTGTGCATTCTATATGTTGTAGCCATTTTGCCAGGGACACAGGAGACACTGCAGGCATTTCAATTAGAATGGCTCCTGAGAGCCACCCTAATTAAAGTGCACCCCCACCCCAAAGCACATGTACAAATGCCCCTAGATTCCCCTTAGGCCTCTCTTACCACCGTGCTAACTTCAGAATCCTGGCTCGTACTTCGTACCATCACAGCAGGACCAGCACTGGCAACAGAGTCCAAATCACTCTTCTGCAAACAAATGCAAGAGAGATGGGAGAGGAAAAAAATTTCCAAGTTAGATATTTCCCTTTCTATATATATCCCAGTCTATAACTGACAATATATTACTGCTTTTTGGGGGTGCTCCTTCAGGGAAACTTAAAAGCCACGAGCTTCATTTTGTCCTTGTGGCTGCATACAGCCAGTCACAAGGGCACACTGTCCCCAGTGTGTCAGAAAGGACAGGATCTTCCCAAATTAAGTCCACAGAGCCATGTGATGAGAGAGGTGGGGAACAGAGAATGATCCTTCTTGCAAATGAACAAGGAAGTGCTCTCTCACGAAAAAGAGAGTATTTGAGGCATTCTCCAAATTTCCAGAAAGCCCCCAGAAGTAAAGAATATCTCAAGTTGTTGTTTACCTTGTCATATGAGGAGTGAAAGCATAGAGACACTGACCTGAGAGCCTAATGTCAGACTGAGGCCACTGTCAGTGCTGATTTGGGATTTTTTCTCATCTGTCTCTCCCAAGTCAAAGAAGTGTTTCGCGCCTTCAGGCCCTGAGCAGAAGAATAAGGTAATGTGTTACTGTACTGGAGGGGCGGGGGGGTTAGAAATCAATGTGGTAGAAGGCAGGTGCTAAACTGTGCGCAGAATCAGTACCAAGAGAAAGAAGACTCCTTGTTCTCATGTTCCCTGGTACTGTCAACAAGCCCAGTAGGTCACATCTGCCATCCTTCCAAAACTACTTTGGACCTCATAATATGTCAAGGGAGCAGCCAACAATCTAATTATTAAGCGTTAAGAGTACCTCTCAGTGAGACCTCAGTTATCCATTCACAAAAAGATAAAAAGAGGACAGACAGGTGTCAAAGAGATTCCAGTTACAAGGCATGCAGAACAGTCACGACTCAACTCTGGGAAGCCACTTCCTTTGTTCTTGGTAAAATAAAGAGCATCTAATTACTTATTAATAAAGTTGGTGTTTGTTTTTGCACAGCTAATTGCTTAACTTGGGTTAAATGTGCTAAGCTGCCCACAACATTATCCAGGCAGTTTTTTTGTAAGAGCAACACACAGTATGAACAGGCAAACAGTGTGGTAATTAGTGCCATGCAAGTAAAAGTTGCAAGAAAGATGCTGGAGGAGGGAGGGTGGGGGGAAGGAAAACACACAGTATTGTGCATCACTTCAATGTACACACCAGTTGCATAGTTTATGGCTCTCCAGAGTTTGCAATCACAAGTTAGTAGTGAGGGCAGGATTCAGCAGGTCTCAAATCATGCATTCACTAACCCAAGTCCACCCAAAAACAAAAAGGGAGGAAAAAATAAAATCGAGCTTTATGTTAAGGTCCCCATGCAGTACTGTAGTCATGTTCTCTACCCTCCTCTGATGGGATGATAAAAGGAATGAAAATGAAGAAGAGAGAGAGAGAGAGAAAGAGAGAGAGAGAGCGAAAACCTAAGAAAGGATTTGGAAAGCATTGTGCAATGGAAGTAGGGAGAAGGAGAATATGCTAGAGACTGTACGAGGGGTGGGGGGGTCACCACTAAGCTCAGAAGGGAGAAGAGATTGAACATGACACTTCTGCCATATCCATATCTGCCAACTGTTTGGTAACAGAGACACATGACCAGCAGCTGGAGGATTTGTATACTATACCCATTATCTGTACAGATACAATGTCCAATAACTCTATACAAACAATACAGCAATACCTTACACACCACTAAAGATATTAAACTAGGATTTGACACGTTTATATTGTTAAAAATATCTACTACTAAATGGTACCAGCATTAGTGCAATAGAATAGAAGAGATGCATATAAAAGGCTTGTGGGCATGAATTTAGGATGGCACACCACAGGGAAGTAAGCAAAGCCACGAATGAGCTGGGCAAGTCATCCCAAAGGCTGTATACCTGAATATTCTAGTTTGTTATCCTATCAAGTATATTCTGTGTGCCATATATTTTACAGCCAAAATATTTCAGAAATATTGTTATGTAGGAGTTCAAAACCAAACAAAACCACAATTTTTTACTTTTTGTAAACTCTCTGCATATAATGCCACAAGTCTTAGTTACTACAACTCAAATCATCCAGAACTCACAAAAAGGAAAATGTAACCAATTTCCAAACCACAAAATTACCTAAAATTGGCTTTCTAAACACAATTTGGGAACATCTAGGGGCTAGGGGAAAAGGTACATGAAAGAAATCTATTTTCAGTAGTTCAAAAGGCACTATTTCTAGCTCTGACTGGTAATGAGTGGTACCACTAACACAAGAATACATATCTTTAGTCACGGGGTCTTTTTTGTACTTAAAGGAAAAAATTAGAAAGAAAACATTTTTGGCAAATTTGTTTCTAACTGCAACTAAATGAGTCTGTTCACAGACAGACATATTAAAAATATTCCTGAGGGTAATGTATGGGGACACGATGGGTGATGGGGTGAAAGATGCATGTTAAAAGCAATTTATCAAGTTGTGATCACCACCACATGTATGGGGTTTTTTTTAAATTTTATATAGACATTTCTATGTACATCTTTGTGTGCACAGGAAGGTGTGTCATTAAAACTGATCAGAATGTGATCAATCCTCACCCATGTCTTTGGCTGTTAGTTCTTTCCCCTACCTTCTGTCAGTGTGTCCATTTGTTCTGTCCTTGTTTTTAAGCATGTATGCTCTGCAAGGCAGGAACTGTGCCGTCTCTTATGTTTGGACAGCATCTAGCACACTGTGGGTACTATTTGAAATCAGTCACACACAGATATATGTAACCATACAGTAGTTATTCCATACATACTCTACAAAGCTTTATAGTATAAGTGCAAGTAGTGCACATATCAATGCCTGTAGATGTTATAACAGATATAAATATAAAAATCAGGCTCTTTGCAAACTCTACAGATGGTCCCCAGGCATCTAATTCACCCCATACCCTTAACATGATACACAAATTAACCTCATAAGAAAGAATCGCCCTTTTTTTTAGCTAGCACCATTGTGAAATACAATTCTTCATGTATCCCCAATTCCTCTCTCCTTCAAAAGTTATTTCTTGCTGCAGTTAAATAGGGATTACAAACCACTCGTTGGAAGTTAATACTCAAACACATAAATCTGCCATTCCTGGGGAATCTGAAGGAGCAGAGAACTCTTCATCCCACCATGATTCAGAAACAAACTACTTATTAATGTCATCATTTTGCTGGCTAAAATAGCCTGTGTGCCTCATAAGAAGGGGAGATAGATTATCAGGGTAAAATTCATCCAAATACCGGTGAAGTGATGAGGAGGTAGGACTTGCTGACCCCTTTCTCCACAAAGAAGTTCAGGAAAAAGAAGACAGTTTGCATTTGAACACTTGAGTTCTCTAGGGCCAATCTACTCAGCATCCCCTAGGGGGGCAGGGTTTCACCTCAATTACAAACTCTCTGGTTGCATGGGCATAAGAACTTGTCCATAGATGGAGGCTCACCCCAGGCTCAGGGAGTTGGCAGTTATGGGGAGGCTGGGGGAGTCAGTTTCTGGGTTTCATCATTTCCTTACTCTGTTTTTCCAAAGCTTTTTGCTTTTTCACTTCCTGGTGCTTGTTCCACAATTCTACCCAAGATGCATTGCAAGCAGGAGAGAAAGAAAAAGAGTCAGAGGCTGGTCAGATAGGCGAAAATGGAAAAAACAAAAGTAAAAGAGATACCCACCCCTGCACCTCCAAACAAACAGAATTAATGACCACTAGTGAGTGAAAGGTTAAATTAACACCATTCCGCAAGAAATCAACGTTAAGAGTAGAGAGCTGCATCATCTCCTGTTAACAGGATGTCAAAAATTAGGAATGACCACAACAATGAACTGGTTGAACAAAAATAGGTTTTAGAAGCAGATCCACCAAATACAATCCATCTACTTTTGCGGGAAGGACTGATTTCAGGACAGGTGGTTTGGTATTTTTCCCCAAAATTTACAAAACCCAATATATTATTTACTCACATAACACAAACACACTCTTCCCCCAAAAATAAGCTCTCCAAAATTGAGGGGCATATCTTGAGCAGGGAAGCTGATTTTCTTTGCCAGAATAGGAACATAGAGGAACAGAAGCATGAAGACATTGTGCTTCAAAATGGCTGCCCGGTTCTTAGTCCTTATCAGTAAGCAGGAAGGGCACAATTTAGTATTAGCCCTTTCATAGATGCTCTCAAATTGAAAGCAGTTTTTAGCTAAGCAGACCCCCACCCACTCCCCAAGACAGAAGTGGGTAGCCAATCTGAAGCACAGTATCTTAACAAAAAAGCCAGCTCTAAGTCACAACTGGAAAAAAATTCCGCATTCTGCCTTCCAAAAAAGGTATGTGTGTTATGTGGGGTGTGAGATATTCAAGAAAATACAACATTAATGGAACTGTTTTCACATAGTCTGAATAATTGTCCAAGAAATGCACAAAAGGAGCAGCATTCCTCAGAAAACTGAGATTTCATTTTAAACTTTTTATATTAAAATCCTTGGTTAATACTAACATCATAAAGAAAAACTGTAAAATAAACAGGATTCTATCAAATCAAAATTCATTCAAGTGCTGGGCTCTAGATACAGGAGACTGAATTTCTCAACCCCTCCAAGTTGCTCCTGTCAGGATACAGAAAATGGAAAATGGAAGAAAAGTGAAAAATCAAGATTCTAGTCATGCCAAATGCCATCCTCCAATACTCGACTAGGCCATAGCTCTTCTTCCCTGTTGGAGTCAGAGTATTCCAGGGAAAGTGCACAATGCAGAGGGCTAGCAGGGGTTTTTGGAGTCTATGCACACACTCTCCCTTTCACTAACCCTGGGAGGAGGTAGAAAATGCAAGCACCACCCACTTCCACCAAGATTCTGCAGCTTTCTAAGATGTGTTCATTTTATGCTTGGAAACTTCAAATCATTCCAGGTGCTGGCCTGCTGATCCAGTGGCAGCATGACAAGCTGGCATGCTGAAGGCTCTAGTCTGAATACTGAGTTTCATGCTCGCTCTCTCAACAGGGTGATGAAGGGTGGGAATACCACAGAGGCAGAATACTCAGTTCTCAGAAAAGCAGAGAAAGGAGACAGGTGCATAACACTGTACTTGTTCTAGAGCAATTCCTCCTGGTTAACCAAAGGCACTGACTGAAGTATGGCAAGCAACACCATCCCTACCCTGCAGATGGCAGAAAGGCAGGAAATCATGGGCTTGAAATCAGGGAAGAAAACAAAGCAGAAGAAAAAAAATAAAAGCTGACAAGGAGGTCTCTAAGACTACAGGATGACTCCACAGAGACAAAGTTACAACTTTGGAGGAGAGTCCATCTTTCTCCCCAACACTTCCTGGCCTCCAAGGTAGACAACAATAGGTAAATTGGGAAGACAGCTGCAAGCCACTAGGTTCTTATTTCTTCTTATTAGCTACAGCAGCTGTGACTGATGGATGTTCTTCCCTATAGACAAGCAGACAGTAGATGAACAAAAGATGCATTTTTTTTAGGGTTAAACAATATTCTGTAGGCTTGGCTGCAATTTCCTATACTTGAGCACACACTAACATAAAGAGGCATAGACAGGCTTTCCCTTTGCCATATTCACTATATGCCCTATTTAATTCTGCCTTGCATCTCAGAATCCCCTCTAGGCGACAGTTATCATGGGATCAAACAGCTCCATCACAACAGTTCCCTTGTTGATGTGCCCCCACTGGTTCTTAGAGTAATTACTCTACATTCTCAGTTATAGCTTGGTCCAAAGGGACTTTTGTAAAACCTAGCATAAAAAAATAATTTCAGGATTTCCTGCAGACTGCTTCTTAACAGAAAAAGGAGAGATCATCTAATAAATCTGACTAGGAATATAAGCTACCAGAGGGATGGCATGACATACAAACCTGAACAGAAGTACAGCAGGTGGCAACAATCAGCAAGGAGCCAACACAGACAGCTTAAATCACTGATGTCAGGGGTCAATCTTACCTGGCTCACCTACCTGCTGTCAATGGCCATGTCTACTAGGGCTGCAGGGCCCCAGATTCTGTGGAAGGATTCACAGCGCTAGCTGCATCCCCAAACTCCTTGGCCTACAAGACCAGAGAGACCAGACCACAGACTGCATCTGGCTCATAGGTCATATACTTGACATTCCAGACTCAAGTCTTTCCTCTTCACAAAATAATTGCAAGGAGTCTCCAAATATAAAATAAATCTGGCCCACAGTTCTGGGAAAATACTGGAGATTTTTCATTTTAGACTGCTGTACTACTGAGTAAGTTCAACATCAACATTTAATATTAAAAGGCTTCTACTAGGACAGAGCTTAGAGCCAAGCTAAGAAATTGTCCAGTGGAAGCCTGGCTTTTACAAAGTAAAAGAAAACATTTTTTCTCAGTTTGCCCCGTCATGTTTAGCAGGAAGGTATCAAGAACAGAAACAAAACAATATAGATAGAAACAAAAGATAGAATATAGTAACATAACTAGGATGGGACAAGGAAACCCACCTTTAAGAGGAGGCTTGATGTCTACCTGGCTGGGGTCATTTGAACCCAGTTTTCTCTCCTGCCCAGGGTAGGGGGTCAGACTTGATGATCTACAAAGGTCCCTTCCAACCCTACATCTATGAATCTATGAAAGCCACTTGTCCCAAGCAGCAACTATGAGGGGGCACCAGGATCTCTAGCTCCCCCCTTCCCAGGAATTTTCACCAAGGCATGGGAAGCTTTGCATTGCCCCTAACTGGTCATAGAAGCAAAGTAGGGAAGAGTTTGCCCCAATCAGTGTATGGGGTGGCGGAGGGGAAGAGGGGCAAGCAGAGTGAGCAAAATACTGCTCCTCCCAACCCCAGGGAGCTTTTGCCTGAGCAGGCACAGCTCTGCTCCCAGTATATATATTAGGAGACCTGCTCCTTGCCAATAGAAACTACCATCTTCCAAATCAGACTAGAGAATGACTAGCATGAACAAAATGAACTTTGCTAATATACTTCCCATTGCCAGGGACTGTGAATACAAAACCACATATTTGGAGATTTACAAGCAATCAGCTACTTTCTGAGGAAGGTCAAAAACAGCAATGGGGCTCATACAAGGAAGCTCTGTTGTCTTCCTACTTGCTTGCCTGTAGAATATGAAAAGAACTGCATATAATTAATTGATGTATTTTTAGATGTCATGAACACAGTCCCATCACCAGATTAACAATACACATGAAATGGGCCACTGGCAAAAAATGGTCCTGTAGATGATGCATCTCCATTCATCCTGGTGACCTGTTTTTAAACTCTAGTATGTTTTCTTTCAAACTGTGTCAAGCAAAAGCTCCATTATTCAGATTTTTCTTCATAACATCTGCTTTACCTAAAGGCTTATTGACAACATTTGTTTCCTGTTGCTTTTATACCGCTTGAGGCTGTAAACTACCACCAAAACTTGAGCATACTTTGCTTAATCAGTAATTCAATTAATATTTTAAAATGCTTCTTCCTCTAAAGAGACCCACCTCAAAAGAAGAGAGAATCTATACATGAAGATATTTAAAAATCGGTATTTTTGGGCTTGGCTATGAATTTGCCATGGGCACATGTAGGACCCTTTAAGATTAGGTCTTATGTTGAAACTTCCATAAAATCAAAAATGAGCTATTGTGCTAGAAGTGCTAGAAGGAGCTATTGTGCTGAATGATCTCCCTTTAATTCAAGGTGATCACCAAATGTGGGACATCTGATGCAGTCATCCGCAGATCAAGCTGAGAACAAAAGATTTTCCATCTAATCCAAGTTTGTTGGATTCTCTTTATGCTAGAGAAAAATAAGTGTCTGGTATAAATATGGATCTTATGATATAGGATCCAAAACACAATCTAAAATCTAAACTCCAAACCTCTTGCTTCCACTGCAGTGGCAAGAGCTCTAAAAATGCAACAACTCTTCGAGCATAAGAATTAAGTCTAGGACCAGCTAGTTACTGGGGGAAAACCTAACAAAACAGACATCAGCAAAAGCCAAAAGAGCAAAGAGTAGAGAAGCAAAGAAAGCCAAAGACAAAAAACAAAAAGCCCTTCTGAAGCAAGACACTCTCTGACAAGAAATTATATTCTATTGGAAGTAAGAATTTCCAGATTTTTCCATCCACTGCTGAGATACATTATAGAACCATAGAAAATTAGGGTTGTCATCTACTTCAACCCCCTGATCAAAGCAAAACTATCCCCAACTATATCATCCCAGCCAAGGCTTTATCTAGCTGGGTCTTAACCTCCACGGGTGGAGATTCCACAACCTCTCTGAGTAACCTGTTCCAGTGTTTTATTACCATACTAGTAAAAAAGCTGTTCCTAATATTTAACCTAAACTTCCCTTGCTGCAACTTGAGACCATTGCTCTTTGTTCTGTCATCTCTCAGCACTGAGAACAGTTCAGCTCCATCTTCTTTGGAGCTACCCCTCAGGTAGTTGAAGGCTGCTATTAAATCCCCACTCAGTCTTCTCTTCTCCAGACTAAATACACACAATTCCCTCAGCCTCTCCTTGTAATTCATGTTCCCCAACCCCACAACCATTTTCATTACCCTCCACTGGACTCTCTCCAATCTGTCCACATCCCTT